CAATTCTCGGTAGAACCTTGCTGGAACGGTTAATTTTATGTCTTTATGTAAATTTTTTAGCTCTGGTTTTACCTTATAGCCCATTTGAGAAAAAATATATGTTTTTGAATAAGATTTCGAAAAGATATTTTTTATTGAAATGATAACTTTAGTAGGAAATGGTTTCGATCCATTGACCTCTGGGTTATGGGCCCAGCACGCTTCCACTGCGCCACCCTGCTTGCTACACAATGCTTCTATGCTATGAATATAAAACTTGTGCTATTTCGAATAAGGGAAGAACAGCAAGAAATGTTCTTTTAGAAGAATAGCATCAAACAGGTATGCACGATCAGGGAGTGTAGCTCAGTGGTAGAGCATCCGACTGCAGATCGAGAGGTCAGTGGTTCAACTCCGCTCGCTCCCTTCTCTTTTATGAATGAAAAAAAAATCCAACATTTTTATCGTATTAATTAGTGAATTAAAAAACCCAAATTTATTTTCGTTGCAACAATCCGTTTGCTTGATAAATAATCCTTGCAGTTTAGTGTTTTTTCAATGACTCTCTGGGACACATGCATGTCCTATAAATTTGTAAAACGGGAGTCCATACCTGGAATACAGGGAATATAATTACTTTATCTTAATAAAGTGCGCGCATAGATATAGTGTAGAGCCGGGAATTTCTCAGTAATTTTTCTAGGTGTTTATGTCCTTTGGTGTAATGGTTTATTACTTCGGGCTCTGAGTAGGATAAATTATATAGTTCCTATAGTTGCCTATATACTTTTGTAAATACAAAAGTATGCAAAAGCCTCATCAGAGAGTTGAACTCTGGACCCCTGGTTTACAAGACCAGTGATCTAACCACTGAGCTAATGAAGCGTATGTGCAAGCTTAACACGAATATAATTATATGAATACTTTATCTTAATAATGTGCATGTGCGTAGCAAACTAAATAATTATATACTATGCAGTCAACATTCGTCAGTAAATTTGATAGGTTTTTAGGGTCTGTGGTGTAATGGTTATCACTTCGGAATCTGACTTCGAGAATCGGAGTTCAATTCTTGGTAGAAACTCTTTGAAAACATTCATTCTCCGTCTTTATATATTTTTTTATTTCAGCCTTTCTCTTACAGCTATCTAAGAATATACCATATGACATGCAGGTATGCTGCATGGACGCTCAGAGAGAGTAGCATATAGTGGTCGAGCATCCGACTGCAGGTTGACAGGTCACTGGGGTCAGTGGTTCAACTCCGCTTGCTCCTTCCTGTTCTATAAATTAAAGAAAAATTTAATATTTTTATGGTACCCATTAGTGCATAAAAAATCCTAATTTATTTCCGTGGGAAACAGCCGTACGTTTGATAAACAATCCATGCAGTTTAGGTTTTTTGAATGACTCTTTGGGACATATGCATGTTCTATAATTATTATATTTGTAAACCAGGGCTCCATACCTGGAATAGGGGGAATATATGTAAATACTTCATCTTAATAATGTGCGTGTATATAGACTATACATCACAGCGCGGGCCAGATGTATATGATGAGTCGTCAAAAGATTGCAGAGTACGTATTCGGAAGAAAAATTGAACTTTTTCATGCTATTCAAAAGGTTTCTCTTTGATAGCGGTACAGAAATACACAATTGTGAACCAGCGATTAGATATCCGGGTTGAAATGTCTCAAACGCCAATTTCGGCTGTGCCTTTTAGTAGATCTCGGTAGGACCTTGCTGGAACTATTCATTTTATGTTTTATGTAACTTTTTTAGTTCTGGCTTTTCTCTTATAGCCCATATCAGAAAAAATATATGTTTTTGAATAAGATTTCGAAAAGATCTTTTTTATTGAAATGATAACTTTAGCAGGAAATGGTTTCGATCCATTGACCTCTGGGTTATGGGCCCAGCAGGCTTCCACTGCGCCACCCTGCTTGCTACACACTGCTTCTATGCTATGAATATAAAACTTGTGCTATTTCGAATAAGGAAAGAACAGCAAGAAATGTTCTTTTAGGAGAATAGCATCAAACAGGTATTCCCGATCAGGGAGTGTAGCTCAGTAGTAGAGCATTCGACCGCAGATCAAGAGGTCAGTGCTTCAACTCCGCTCGGTCCCTTCTATTTTATCAACATTTTTATCGTACTAATTAGTGAATTAAAAAACCCAATTTATTTTCGTTGCAACAATCCGTTTGCTTGATAAATAATCCTTGCAGTTTAGTGTTTTTTCAATGACTCTCTGGGACACATGCATGTTGAAAGTGGGAGTCCATACCTGGAATACAGGGAATATAATTACTTTATCTTAATATTATGCGTGTATAGATATACTGTAGAGCCAGGAATTTCTCAGTAATTTTTCTAGGTGTTTATGTCCTGTGGTGTAATGGTTAGCACTTCGGACTCTGAATACGATTAATTACATAGTTGCCATAGTTAATAGCTATAGTTGCATATAATTTACAAAAGTATGACAACAAGAGCCTCATCAGAGAGTTGAACTCTGGACCCCTGGGGCCGGTTGTTCGAAAGGTGGATAAGTCGCTATCCAACGGATAAGTCCCTATCCAACGAATAAGTTTTATCCAGCGTGTGATTTGCGTTGCACGAAGCTTGGATAACTTTATCCAGCGGATAAAAATCGCTATCTACCGGATAAATTTATCCAAGGTCCGGAGGTGGTTTAAATCCACTATCCAGTGAATAAATTCAAAGATACAAGGTAACACTGTAAACATTTATATAAAATAGGACAAAAATGCCATATTCCTGTTACTGTGTTTCAACAAACTAATACACATCATGATTGTATTCACTATTAAAAATGTTTTCGAAGTGCAATTTATCGCAGCAGCGTTTCACGTTGCCTACACATTCCGTTCCGAGCTGCGATTTTTTGGAGATCCTCGCATTTATAACAGGTGGTAAATTTACTATGCGCTTCTAATCAGTTTATAAACGCGAATATGCAAAGAAAGATTCAACCTATCCCAAGGAAACTTGCTAATATCTAAGTAATTTCATTCACGAACATTAAAATAGGGTTCCTAAATTTGCTATGGAACCGAAAGGCAAAGCGTTGCAAGGTCAAGGAATAAAATTGCAATGTGTTTGATTAATAAAATCACTATGATGTGAAGTGCAAAGTTCGAGCAAATCACTTGTTCAAGTCTTTTCCATTCAGTAACTATACTCGAGAATTCGTAATGATTATGAATTCAATGTTGTAAATGCTTAGCAACAGCTGACGTTGTGGTACGAAATTTCAGGATAATCCTGTTTTCTTCCGGTAAATTTTACCTTATCTATTGGATAGCTATCCACTTCACTATCCACGCTTCGTGCAACGCGTTTTTATCCAATGGATAACTATCCACTGGATAGCAGATTTATCCGTTGGATAGGACTTATCCGTTGGATAAGTTATCCATCTTTCGAACAACCGGCCCCTGGTTTACAAGCCCTTGCAGTGCTCTAACCACTGAGCTAATGAAGCGCACGTACAAGCTAACGCGAATATTGTTGCTTAATCTTATAATGTGCACGCATCAAATTATGCTTCACAGGGTGTATAAAAAAAAAGTAATCCAACTTTGGCGCACTATTGTACGTGAACTACTCATTCCAGCAAATGAATTTTTTTCACATTCGGAAAGGTTAGGCTTTTAGTTAACTATCGAATGACATGTTTTTAATACCAAATGATGAAAAAATGAGAAAATAGGAGGCTGATAAAAAGTGTTAGTCAAAATCGCATATTCTCACCTCTGAGAGTTGGGACTAAAACCATTGAAAATTAACTCCCTTTAGGAATTAATTGAAGAATTTTGCTTCCGAATAAACTACCCGCCAATGCATGGTAAGTAGGAATAAATCACATCAGGAGAACATTCCAAGCAATTAATGTGCCGGCGATGTTAACTTTTTATCGATAGAGATGGTGGTCAAGTTGAAGGCATGACGCATAATCTCTTTTTAAAAGTGTGAATGTAAATAATCGCAATAAAAATGTTGTAAAACCAGTGCAAGCTGTAACATGTTCGTGATTAATTGTTTTTGTTCTTTTGTTATGCACTGCTTTGATTAGGCTCAAAGGTCAAAATATGCGATTGTGACTAAAGTTTTTTATCAGCCTCGTATGTTCTCATTTTTCACCATTTGGTATTAAAAGCATATCTTTCGATAGATAGAAGCCAGACGAGGTTGGACAAGCGATTAGAAAGTTTTAACGTGAGCTCTCGACAAATGAGATCACCCTATTTTCGCCCTATTTTCCGGTGGGCGACAAAAAATACCCTTAGGCATATTGTGTTGTTCTCCTCCACGGCAACCTTTAGTAAAAGGCGAAAGATTTTTTCGTAGGAGAACCAAGGCTTGGAAACTTCGGTGCTTCTCAGTGCTGTATAAACGAAATAGTTTCACTTTTGGAACACGGTAGTCACGGAAGTGCGCGCGCGCACAATGTTATCAATTGTGACGAATATTATTGTTTTTATAATTAGCAGTTGCTCAATCAATTGTGGGGTGTCGTTTGATATTTTAGCGTGATCAAGAGCCTTCTGCCTTCTGCCAGGAAAAAGAGCATTGGGAATCCGGATCACGCCTGCTGTTGATCTCGTAAACTTTTGATGAACACCCGCCCGGAAAATCCGGCGGGCGACAAAAAATACCCTTAGCCCATTGTTTTGTTCTCCTCATCGGAAATCTTTAGTAAAAGGCGAAAGATTTTTTCGTATAAATGAAAGAGAACCAAGGCTTGCAAACTTCGGTGCTTGTCAGTGCTGTGTAAACGAAATAGTTTTGCTTTTGGAACACGGTAGTCAGGGAAGTGCGCGCGCAATGTTATGAATTGTGACGAATATTATTGTTTTTGTAATTAGCAGTTGCTCAATCAATTGTGGGTGTCGTTTGATATTTTGGCGTGATCAATAGCCTTCTGCCAGGAAAAAGAGCATTGGGAATCCGGATCACACCTGCTGTTGATCTCGTACACTTTTGATAAATACCCGCCAGGAAAATCCGGTGTGCGACAAAAAATACACTTGTACCCATGGTCGTTTTCTCCTCCACGGAAATCTTTAGTAAAAGGCGAAAGATTTTTTCGTATAAATGAAGGAGAACCAAGGCTTGGAAACTTCGGTGCTTGTCAGTGCTGTATAAACGAAATAGTTTCGCTTTTGGAACACGGTAGTCACGGAAGTGCGCGCGCAATGTTATCAATTGTGACGAATATAATTGTTTTTATAATTAGCAGTTGCTCAATCAATTGTGGGGTGTCGTTTGATATTTTGGCGTGATCAATAGCCTTTTTCCAGGAAAAGCAGCATTGGGAATCCGGATTACGCCAGCTGTTGATCTCGTACACTTTTGATAAACACCCGCCTGGAAAATCCGGCGGGCGACAAAAATACCTTTAGGCCCATTGTGTTGTTCTCCTCCACGGAAATCTTTAGTAAAAGGCGAAAGATTTTTTCGTGTGAATGAAGGAGAACCAAGGCTTGGAAACTTTGGTGCTTGTCAGTGCTGTATAAACGAAATAGTTTCACTTTTGGAACACGGTAGTCACGGAAGTGCGCGCGCAATTTTATCAATTGTGACGAATATAATTGTTTTTTTAATTAGCAGTTGCTCAATCAATTGTGGGGTGTCGTTTGATATTTTGGCGTGATCAATAGCCTTCTGCCAGGGAAAAGGAACATTGGGAATCCGGATGACGCCAGCTGTTGATCTCGTACACTTTTGATAAACACCCGCCTGGAAAATCCGGCGGGCGACAAAAAATACCCTTAGGCCCATTGTGTTGTTCTCCTCCACGGAAATCTTTAGTAAAAGGCGAAAGATTTTTTCGTGTAAATGAAGGAGAACCAAGGCTTGGAAACTTCGGTGTTTGTCAGTGCTGTATAAACGAAATAGTTTCGCTTTTGGGACACGGTAATCACGGAAGTGCGCGCGCAATGTTATCAATTGTGACGAATATAATTGTTTTTTTAATTCACAGTTGCTCAATCATTTGTGGGGTGTCGTTTGATATTTTGGCGCGATCAATAGCCTTCTGCCAAGAAAAGAGCATAGGGAATCCGGATTACGCCAGCTGTTCATCTCGTACACTTTTTAAAAACACCCGCCTGGAAAATCCGGCGGGCAACAAAAAATACCTTTAGGCCCATTGTGTTGTTCTCCTCCACGGAAATCTTTAGTAAAAGGCGAAAGATTTTTTCGTGTAAATGAAGGAGAACCAAGGCTTGGAAACTTGGGTTTTTGTCAGTGCTGTATAAACGAAATAGTTTCGCTTTTGGACACGGTAATCACGGAAGTGCGCGCGCAATGTTATCAATTGTGACGAATATAATTGTTTTTTTAATTTGCAGTTGCTCAATCAATTGTGGGGTGTCGTTTGATATTTTGGCGTGATCAATAGCCTTCTGCCAGGGAAAAAGAAGAATGGGAATCCGGATTACGCCAGCTGTTGATCTCGTACACTTTTGATAAACACCCGCCTGGAAAATCCGGCGGGCGACAAAAAATACCCTTAGGCCCATTGTGTTGTTCTCCTCCACGGAATCTTTAGTAAAAGGCGAAAGATTTTTTCGTGTAAATGAAGAGAACCAAGGCTTGGAAACTTCGGTTTTGTCAGTGCTGTATAAACGAAATAGTTTCGCTTTTGGGACACGGTAATCACGGAAGTGCGCGCGCAATGTTATCAATTGTGACGAATATAATTGTTTTTTTAATTCGCAGTTGCTCAATCAATTGTGGGGTGTCGTTTGATATTTTGGCGTGATCAATAGCCTTCTGCCAGGAAAAGGAGCATTGGGAATCCGGATTACGCCAGCTGTTGATCTCGTACACTTTTGATAAACACCCGCCTGGAAAATCCGGCAGGCGACAAAAATACCTTTAGGCCCATTGTGTTGTTCTCCTCCACGGAAATCTTTAGTAAAAGGCGAAAGATTTTTTCGTGCAAATGAAGGAGAACCAAGGCTTGGAAACTTCGGTGCTTGTCAGTGCTGTATAAACGAAATAGTTACGCTTTTGGACACGGTAGTCAGGGAAGTGCGCCCGCAATGTTATCAATTGTGACGAATATTATTGTTTTTATAATTAGCAGTTGCTCAATCAGTTGTGGGGTGTCGTTTGATATTTTGGCGTGATCAATAGCCTTCTGCCAAGAAAGGAGCATTGGGAATCAGGATTACGCCAGCTGTTGATCTCGTACACTTTTGATAAACACCCGCCTGGAAAATCCGGCGGGCGACAAAAAATACCCTTAGGCCCATTGTGTTGTTCTCCTCCACGGAAATCTTTAGTAAAAGGCGAAAGATTTTTTCGTGTAAATGAAGGAGAACCAAGGCTTGCGAACTTCGGTGCTTGTCAGTGCTGTATAAACGAAATAGTTTCGCTTTTGGAAAACGGTAGTCACGGAATTGCGCGCGCAATGTTATCAATTGTGATTAATATAATTGTTTTTTTAATTAGCAGTTGCTCAATCAATTGTGGGGTGTCGTTTGATATTTTGGCGTGATCAATAGCCTTCTGTCAGGAAAAGGAGTATTGGGAATCCGGATGACGGCTGCTGTTGATCTCGTAAACTTTTGATAAACAACCTCCTGGAAAATCCGGCGGGCGACAAAAAATACCCTTAGGCCCATTGTGTTGTTCTCCTCCACGGAAATCTTTCGTAAAAGGCGAAAGATTTTTTCGTGTAAATGAAGGAGAACCAAGGCTTGGAAACTTCGGTGTTTGTCAGTGCTGTATAAACGAAATAGTTTCGCTTTTGGGAAACGGTAATCACGGAAGTGCGCGCGCAATGTTATCAATTGTGACGAATATAAATGTTTTTTTAATTCGCAGTTGCTCAATCAATTGTGGGGTGTCGTTTGATATTTTGGCGTGATCAATAGCCTTCTGCCAGGAAAAGGAGCATTGGGAATCCGGATTACGCCAGCTGTTGATCTCGTACACTTTTGAAAAACACCCGCCTGGAAAATCCGGCAGGCGACAAAAATACCTTTAGGCCCATTGTGTTGTTCTCCTTCACGGAAATCTTTAGTAAAAGGCAAAAGATTTTTTCGTGTAAATGAAGGAGAACCAAGGCTTGGAAACTTGGGTTTTTGTCAGTGCTGTATAAACGAAATAGTTTCGCTTTTGGCACACGGTAATCACTGAAGTGCGCGCGCAATGTTATCAATTGTGACGAATATAATTGTTTTTTTAATTTGCAGTTGCTCAATCAATTGTGGGGTGTCGTTTGATATTTTGGCGTGATCAATAGCCTTCTGCCAGGGAAAAGAAGAATTGGGAATCCGGATTACGCCAGCTGTTGATCTCGTACACTTTTGATAAACACCCGCCTGGAAAATCCGGCGGGCGACAAAAAATACCCTTAGGCCCATTGTGTTGTTCTCCTCCACGGAAATCTTTAGTAAAAGGCGAAAGATTTTTTCGTGTAAATGAAGGAGAACCAAGGCTTGGAAACTTGGGTTTTTGTCAGTGCTGTATAAACGAAATAGTTTCGCTTTTGGGGCACACGGTAATCACGAAGTGCGCGCGCAATGTTATCAATTGTGACGAATATAATTGTTTTTTAATTCGCAGTTGCTCAATCAATTGTGGGGTGTCGTTTGATATTTTGGCGTGATCAATAGCCTGCCAGGAAAAGGAGCATTGGGAATCCGGATTACGCCAGCTGTTGATCTCGTACACTTTTGATAAACACCCGCCTGGAAAATCCGGCGGGCGACAAAAATACCTTTAGGCCCATTGTGTTGTTCTCCTCCACGGAAATCTTTAGTAAAAGGCGAAGATTTTTTCGTGCAAATGAAGGAGAACCAAGGCTTGGAAACTTCGGTGCTTGTCAGTGCTGTATAAACGAAATAGTTACGCTTTTGGAACACGGTAGTCAGGGAAGTGCGCCCGCAATGTTATCAATTGTTACGAATTTATTGTTTTTTAATTAGCAGTTGCTCAATCAGTTGTGGGGTGTCGTTTGATATTTTGGCGTGATCAATAGCCTTCTGCCAAGAAAGGAGCATTGGGAATCAGGATTACGCCAGCATTTGATCTCGTACACTTTTGATAAACACCCGCCTGGAAAATCCGGCGGGCAACAAAAAATACCCTTAGGCCCATTGTGTTGTTCTCCTCCACGGAAATCTTTAGTAAAAGGCGAAAGATTTTTTCGTGTAAATGAAGGAGAACCAAGGCTTGGGAATTTCGGTGCTTGTCAGTGCTGTATAAACGAAATAGTTTCGCTTTTGGAAAACGGTAGTCACGGAATTGCGCGCGCAATGTTATCAATTGTGAAATATAATTGTTTTTTTAATTCGCAGTTGCTCAATCAATTTGGGGTGTCGTTTGATATTTTGGCGTGATCAATAGCCTTCTGCCAGGAAAAGGAGTTGGGAATCCGGATACGCAGCTGTTGATCTCGTACACTTTTGATAAACAACCCGCCTGGAAAATCCGGCGGGCGACAAAAAATACCCTTAGGCCCATTGTGTTGTTCTCCTCCACGGAAATCTTTAGTAAAAGGCGAAAGATTTTTTCGTGTAAATGAAGGAGAACCAAGGCTTGGAAACTTCGGTGTTTGTCAGTGCTGTATAAACGAAATAGTTTCGCTTTTGGGAAACGGTAATCACGGAAGTGCGCGCGCAATGTTATCAATTGTGACGAATATAATGTTTTTTTAATTCGCAGTTGCTCAATCAATTGTGGGGTGTCGTTTGATATTTTGGCGTGATCAATAGACTTCTGCCAGGAAAAGGAGCATTGGGAATCCGGATTACGCCAGCTGTTGATCTCGTACACTTTTGATAAACACCCGCCTGGAAAATCCGGCGGGCGACAAAAATACCTTAGGCCCATTGTGTTGTTCTCCTCACGGAAATCTTTAGTAAAAGGCGAAAGATTTTTTCGTGTAAATGAAGGAGAACCAAGGCTTGGAAACTTGGGTTTTTGTCAGTGCTGTATAAACGAAATAGTTTCGCTTTTGGGACACGGTAATCACGGAAGTGCGCGCGCAATGTTATCAATTGTGACGAATATAATTGTTTTTTAATTGCAGTTGCTCAATCATTGTGGGGTGTCGTTTGATATTTTGGCGTGATCAATAGCCTTCAGGGAAAAAGAA